TTACATTCTTTTGGTCTTCCATCATGGTTACAGTTGCTTACTTAAGACATATTTTAGCAATTTTGAGATGTTTCTCCATCCCACTCTGTGTACCTCTGCTCACATTCTTACATCTTTGTCACAGATTATAAACTAGGGGATGAGGTCATTGCCCTCTCTTGACTGACCTCCTACATAACAAAAATCACAGTGCCTAGAATTAAACCTTGGAGATTTATTTTTTTTTAGTTGTTTTCTAAGAAACTGCAGAATGACTTAAAATTTTTTCTATGGCTTGTAGTATAGAACGTATGAACATGCTTGCATGTGTTGCCTTCATAGACTTTCTAGAAGTGATCAAGACACCCCAAGAGTCCATAAGCACAGCTTGAAACCACTTGACTAGTTTTAGGAAAACATCAAATCTTGCCTTTCAGATTTTCAGTGGTGAAGAACTTTGATACTTCCATAGCTTTCCACAGAGAAAAACGTGCCTTTTACTGCTAACCTTAATTTGTCTATCTCCAGCTTTCTCCTTGATATGTCATGGTCCACTAGACAAAATAGCCTTCTAGAATCAATATCCTACCTCCCGGAGGTAGCTGTGACCCCTCCGATTTTCTCCTTGACAAGCTAAATGGCTTGTGATTTTTTAAGCTTTCCCCTGAGTGACATGTTTCTCAACCTCCAGCTAACCCTGTGGTTTTCCTCTCAGTGTTTGTCACTTGATTATGATCCTTTCTAAGACTTTATTCATAACTTGAGGCAGCAGTCTAATAATAACAGAAGAAGGCATAATGTCCCTACTCTAACCGATATTCTCTTCTTCAAATAAATATTCAAGGATCCCAGAGAAAACTCAGAGATCTTGGATTTTGCTACTTAATCAACATAGTTCAAATGTTCTGGACAAACAGTGCATTTGTGCTCCACAGACAAACCTCATGACTCTAGAGCATCTCCCAGTCAACAAATTATAACAGAGATCCATTGACTTTCTTGATAATCCACCCCCATCACTATTTTCTGCATTAGTGATTAAATGTTCTATCCTATAGCTATAGAGGAATTTTTTCCCTATATTCTCACCATAGTCAGTAGAAAGAAACTGGACCTTCCAAACCACCCCAGCATAACTGCCTAAAACCTCTGGGCTAGAGGGTCCTCTGATAGGAGCCCCATTCTGTCCACAAACATTGAGAACCTGTGTGACTAGCTAACACCGGGCACTTTCAGAGGACTAAAATGAGGCGAGGTGGATACCACAGGCACCAGGCAGCATAAGCTGGGCCAGGGCTCATCTTTACACTTCTACCCAAGAACTACACATGTGCCTCAGTGTATCACCAATGCTATAAGTGATGCTATTATTACTCCCCCAAAGTTTTTGTCACCTTCAACAGTAGGTAACTTATGGAAATTTGCATAGGCCATTGTTAGAAATGTACATCACAGCATAGCCACAGTTGAGACAGTCACAACACACAGGTGAGCACCATAGAATTTCAGAAAGCATCAACCCATACAGAGTAACACCATACCTCTCCAGAAGGCTTCAAGCATCTGCCCATACAAAGCAACAACAGGCCAGTCAAAAAAGCATCAAGGTCTGCTCTTTATTGCTCTTCAGCCCAACCCTTTAAACCCCTGATTGTTCATGCATTGCACCTCTGTGCCTTCTGTTCCCTTTGTGATTGGTGAGTGCAACTCAGCACTCCAGGGCTCACTACCTTCAATGTTGCTCATCTGCCCTGCACAGCTGTAGCCCACTGGGGATGAAGCTTGGCCACAGCCCCACTCCCAATTTTCACAAACTGTGTGCCTACAAATATAACCAATGCAGAAGTGAAAAATTAGCCTAAGTGGCATTCTCTCAAAGAGAATCCATTTAATAATGTTTCCCTTTTTCATAAACATTTTTAAGCCTGACATTTAAGTTTTGAAAATACTTAGTATGCATGGCTTTCATTTCATGTGATTCAAATCATGCAGTACCAATTGGGATATTATGAAAGCCATAACTGGATGCTATTCTGCTTGTCAACCAGATTTCCAAGTTAGCATGGTAAGATTTTCCAGGTTTATAGAAAATAATTATACTAGTTTCTTTTTAATTTCTATTAATGGACTTTTATGTGAAGACTTTTTTATTAGGGTCCCAGTTGAGCTGACAAATCTATAGTTACCTAGGTTATCACACTTATACATCAGTGTGTTCTTTTATGCAGCAGCCATGACTTGTTATAGGTCTTCCTATAGAAGCCACCTGATGTTTTAAATTATCCCAAGCACTTAGAATGCAGATTAGCCAATGTGCTAGAATTTTTGCCAAAAAGTAAAGATCCAGTGATATGCTTATAAAACTGAGTATAATCCAAACTTCTCTCTCTTTGATGGGGATTCTATGATGCCTTATTATAAAGATACTTTCTGGGTTTTAGTGGGTCTAGTGGTTTTAAAAGTGATCTAAGAAGCTGAAGCAACAGTCATTGGAATACAGGCCTTTCCTCTAACAGTCTACCAATGCATGTTAGTTTTGCTTCTCTGTCACAAAATCTTTCTGTCCACCTGTACATCAAATTGGAAAATGTGGGTGGTTGGTTGAGACTTGTCTGCTACAGAAATGTTTTTGCTTTAAGAACAAAGAGTGGCACTATCCCAGGCTTTGCACAGGGAGAAACAGAAATGTATTGTGAGCGTATGATATGAGTTATACAAGGCTCCTCTTAGTATGTATCAAAGCCACAGGTGCTGGAATATATCCACCACCTATACTTGCCTATATCCATCATCGTCTAGTTTATGAAGCCTCATGCTGTTTTGCTTGAGAATTCTCTAAGAACCAGGTATCTCTGCTCCTTAAACAGGAATTTCATCTTATGCACCAAAACAGAATGCACTCCTAAAAAAATAATAAGGGGAAAAAAATGTGCTGAGGAGACCTCACTTCTGTGCCCTGGTCAGCTTGAAGTTTAAACTTATAGTCTCTTATAGTCAAGCCAGGGAGCATGTCAGCCAAACAGTTGTGGAGTGTTTAAAAGTCTCTTTTACTCTTCTGTTAAAACTGGACCTTTGCAGCCAGGGAGGCATGGGGCCAGAGAAACTGTCTCTAGACCCAGGTCTTGGGAAGACATATTAATTTTTTATAAGCAAATTTATATGGATGAATTTCAATACAGAAAGAGAAACAGCCTGGGAAATTCTGCCATTTCTTGACTGAATTGTGCAATTGCTCAGATGCTGTCAAAATATCTTTCGTCTGACTTTTGGCTGGAAGATAATCTGTCCTTTCTTTTTCTCTTCCATCTTAAAATGATCACTTCCACAAAGAGAACCAATTACAGGTTCCAGCATCCTGAATCTAAAAGAGAAGGAGGACCTGAAGGCACTAAGAAAGGCAAGACTTCACCACAAGTTGTGGTTGAGGTTAGAAGTGAGCTGGGAAGCAGGGATTATATTGGCAGTTTCTGGCAGTTCCTTGTAAGGTAACTGGAGAGAGGCAGACACATTGGATGAACAGAGAATCTCCCAAGCTCCCCCACATACTCATTCATTCTGTGTCCTCTATTTGACATTCTGTTTCTATTAGGATGATTGAATTGGCCACCTTCCCTCGGTTCACCCAGTTCCCCCCTGAAATGGGCACCTAAAATATACACATCTGCTCACAAATGAAGCACTGTTGGAGCCTTTCTATTATCTACCACATGGGAGCAGGATTAGGTTCACTGTCGGTTTTGGGGAACATGAAAGGGATAAAGGAAGATGAATTATGCATAACAGAATTGCACCCTACTGGTTTCCTAAGACATACAAGATGTTTCAGTCCCATTGTCATCCTAGCATACTCTTGGAGAAAATGCTTCACACAGCCAGAGGCAGAGCTCCTCCATGACTCCTGATACAGCACCATATTGACATTCTTCTGCTAATGACGTATGTTTCATGTTGTTAAAGATCTGGCAGCATGTAACAGTTTGTTAGACTGGCTAAGACCGCATAAAATGTAAGAAATAAACTGAGTAGGGAAAAATTTTTTAGAGAACTGTTAAAACCTGAGTGGTTTGTTTTTTTTTCTTTTTTTGCATCCTCCTTTTGATTATTTTCATTGCAACTAATGGAAAGGAAAAGAGTATTAAACTAGCAATCTGAATACAACCCTCACATACTTTTGGTTTAGACCTAAACTCTTGCAGGCAGTAATACAATCTTTTAATACCAGATCTAATTTAATGAGGGTCTAAATTAGTAAGAACTAACTTTTTATGAAAAGCTTTGGAGAGTGCTTGGCATGACAGGAGAAGCCCATATATTTCTCCTAGGGACAACTGCGGGTTATTCACCAGCTGTCCCACCAAGTCTCCTCACCCGCCCTGGCACAGCTCGGAGACTTGAGGCATTCGGCCCAGCGATGACTTTTACGTGGCCACCGCGGGCCCGAGGGTGACGGGACCGCGGGGTGCGTGGCTCTGCGCTGGCGGAGAGCTCTTGGCACACGGCTCCCGTCCTACCCAGTCGGCGGGAGCCCGGCGTTCACTCCGCACAGCGGACAGCCCCCTCCTCGCACCATCCCTCCTGCCACTTTCTGCCCGGGGTGGAGACGGCGCTGCCGGTAGCTCAGGGAGGGCCCGGGCACCGCTCCCGCCCCTTCCCCCGGGCCCCCTTTCCTCCGCCGGCGCGAGAGCGGGGCGCTCCCGGCGCGGCAGACCGCGGCGGCTCCCGCGGCGGGCGGGGCGGTGCGAGGCGCGGTGCGGCCCGGCGGCGGCCGCGGGGAGCGCGGCTGCGGCAGCCCCCGCCTGCCACGGGGCACGGCCTTGCTGGACGAGGGGCGCGGGCGGCGGTCCCGGCCCGGGCGCTCCGCACCTCTGCCGAGTTTGGCCGGCCCAGAAGGGCAGCCGAGAGTTCAGCATGCAGGAAGTTTTGAGGCAGCTCGGAGAGTAGCGCGGCGGAGGTGACCGCCGCTTTGCGTGCTCTGGGGTTTTGCGCTTTTTTTTTTTTTTTTTTTTTTTTTTTTTTTTTTGCGGGGATTGTGCCTTTTTCCCCCCTTTGCCTCCAACTCCCCCAAACACACAAGCAACCCGCAACAATCATAAAGTCCGGTAAGGGGGAAGAGAACGCGAGCGAGGGAAGCACCCTCGGCGGGAGAGGAGAGCCCGCTTCTTCGCAGAGACACGGTCCCGCTCGCAGCCGGTCCCAATGCAACTGCTCATCCTCCTCCTGCTCTACGCCGCCGTCTGTGCGAACTTCTGCAGCCGTCAGGGCACCACCGCCCCTGCCCAGAGCGGATCTATAAAAGCCCTGCGGGCTTCCAACATCAGGCGAGATGGTAGGTGTCCCGCTGCTTTATTTATTCCCAAGGGCTGCTTTTGCGGGGATGGTCCTTAAGCGCGCCTCGGGGCTGCCGCTCCCTGTCCCGGGAGCGAGGGCCGCGTGCCCAGCGGGGACAGGGGTCGGTCCGGGTGGGGTCCCGTCCTGGGGGCTCAGCCAGCTCGTGGGGTCGGCCTCCGGGGTGCGGTCCCTGCGGCCGGTCCGGGAGCGTGTGGCCAGGTGTCAGGAGGAAGGTGTGGGCTGAGGGTGCGACTCTGCCCTGTGGCTGCACCGCCGGGCGGTCCCAAACTCATCGGGGTAACTCCGAGGAGGTCTCCTGGCAGTCGGAGGTGCCCCCAGCGCCCCGTCTGGGCTTCGGGGAGCGCCTTGCCCCTCGGTCCCGGCTGCCCAGACGGGCCCCGCCGGCCGTCCCTCGGCACCCCTGGGCCCGTGTCCCCGTGTGCCTTGCTGTGCCGGCGGCGGGCAGAGCGGGGAGCGGCGGCGCCGCGGCTCGCCAGCCCCTCGGCGCCGCTGGGGGCTCTCAGGGGCGGTGTGTCGGCGGCGCTGCCGTCGCTCCGGGGCTCTTCGGCGGGAGCGGGATCGTCGCCCGGCCCCGCCACAGCCTCGCCGCCCTCCACTCCTGTAAGGGCTGTCGGCGTGCTGCTCGCCGGGTTAGGGAGCTTCCTCCAGCCGAGGGTCTGAGCCCAGGACTTGGTGCTCCCCTGGAGCGGCTGGGCACTGTCCCACCAGGACCGGCCTCGTCCCTTGTGATGGCCGGGGATGGTGCGCACCCATCAGGGCGGCAGCGGGCTCTGGGACGCCGCCTGCCCCGTAGAGAGCGCGTTCCCGGCCTGAGCTGCGGCGCGGTTCCCTCGGGAGCTGCCGGCAGGGGATGTCCCGGACCGCCGAGGTGCTGCCCGGGCTCCGCGGCGCAGCAGTGCGGGACGCAGGTGCCTCCAGGGAACGTGGTCGTGTGCCGTGGCCCCACAGAGAGTGAACAGGGAGACTGCATAAAAATAGCGCTGCTGAAATTCACCTCGAGAATCCATCACTTTCAGTTTGGGAAGAGTGATGGGCCTTTGGCCAGGGAGCAGCCTGGAATGTTCCAGCCTCACGTGGGAGAGCTTGCTTTTGCACGTTGCCATGTACTTTAGACGGCGAAATGCAGGATGTTCTCCGTGCAAATGAAGAGAGTTAACATCTTCCAGTTGACAGCAGTCATATATTTTATAAACCCTTTTCAAAAACCCAGGCCCTTGAGCCATTTCCAAGACTGTATTTGCCAGTGTTTATTTTCCAGCATGTATACAATGCATGTAATGGGTATACAGTTGATTTAAGAAGATGTTTTTGTTTAAAGTTTGGAGCCATATTGAACTTAATAATTTTTTATGCCTTTCCTTGTCACTGAAAGAAGACTTAAGAGAAGGTGGAGGATTTTTTGTCCTATAACAAAAATGTTGAGTCATGAAGCAGGACAAAATTGCAGTTTTTTCTGATACAAGAGTTAAATTTAATCTCATTAAATAAAAAAGTATATGTTTGCAATAAAAGTACATATTTGTTAATTACATTTTTTAAATTATTTTGTGTTTTATCAAACTTTATGACTTAGCCTGCCACCATCATAGAAGAACTGAGACCATCTCTGAAGTAAGCTAAGCAAGCTTCCATCCAACTCAAACTTCAAACAAGTTTTTCCATTGAAAACTTACATACTTAGTGGATCAAAATGTGTATTACTCTGATCATCTCTGTATAGTCAGTGAAGAAATCATTAACCCCTAACATAAATAAAGTTTTCATATTAATGGCAGTATGATGGGTGTTTCACTTCTCAGAAGACTTCCTGTGGTGAAATTGCTTCTTGCAGTGATTAAGAGAACAAGCCTTTGAAATTATTAGTTAATTGCTGTCTTTCTAGTTGTGACAATTTAACAATTTGATTAAGCTTTGCACCTTTAAAATTACCAGAAGCAGCTTGTAGTGGTTGATCTTTGTGGAAGGTGGCAAATCTATGTGCATTTACATCTTACTTTTTATCTTTGCTGGGACATATGCTAGTGAGCCTTGTAGCCTACATTGAATGTGCTCATGCTAAAGTCAGACACTTCTGCAATTCTTGAGTGGATGTGATGAATGTACTGAAGAGGTCACAGACTTCGATGAAGACTATGTGCAGACCCTCAGCATGCTGCAGCTTTGCTCTCTCCCTCTGCCTGGGAATCCTGTTGCTTTTTCTCTGCAAAGCACCATGTGTTCTGGTGTGGCCAGTGAAGCTGGTGTGGGATTGCAACATTTAATGCAGATCAGCCGCTGATCCCCCCTGATTTTACTTGAATGAAACCGTTGCTTGAATTCCTTCACTGAGGGCCTATATTTGTTCAACCAAAGGTTTTGAGCAGTATTCCAAATATTGCGTACATGTGATGGGCTCACAAGCAAATGCTTAGAGAACAGTTGGCCGTAGGCCACTGCTAGTATTTCTGTCTTTTATAATTCACAGTGGTGTTTTTGTGTTGTTTTAGTCTGAAGCAATGATATGGAACAGCATGAAAGATGTGAGTTGCGTTGCCGAGTCAGACAGTATTTTTTGCTTTGTAAATATTTGCAGATATGGCAATATAGAATGGGATCTGAGAGCATGCAATACATTGGGGTAAATGTGTTACAACAGTCTCAAAACACACAGCTAAGATAAAAAGTAGTTTAATATTATGTTCTGGGTTGATGATCATGATTAGTAGATTTTGAAATTAAAAGAGATACTGAAGAGGAAACAAGGCCCATTCAGCTTCAAAAAAATATCTTGGGAAGCCCAAGACCACCTGCACATTTTATTAAAAGAAAAAAACCCCTTTGAGTTCCAGTTCTAAGCAGGATAAACTAGTGGTACTGCATACACAGAGTTTAATATGGAGGCTTGGTCTTGCTTCCAGCCAAAACAAACCTTTGCAGTGTGCATGATTCAATATTGCCTTTCTTCTTTCAGACTAAAAGTAGTTGGCCTATTTGTAATTGCTCTTACTTAAGACTAAAGTTGATCTGATAAGAAATCTATGGATGAGGGCAGCACATATAAAAATTGCTATTTCATGACTACCAAACCTAACCAGACTGTAATTTCTGCTGAAGATATTAAGAATATAAATAACTTGCTTACAAGACATCCTCTTGTTCTAGTTGAAGGACGGTCATTGATGACTCAGCAGTCCTGTGTAGCACTAATCAATTTTTTAAAGTGTCCTGGAGGTGCCAGCAACATTTATAGCACAAATACTGGTATTCACTTAGAGTGTTTATTAATGCTGTTAACTTAAGTACTTTGAAGTTCATCAGAATAACAGAGAGGTCTTCCAGATGCTTCCATTGTTCTATTTTGATTCAGTTTCCCAGTTTGCAGCGTGCAGGTAATACTGCCTAATTACAAGAAGTCTGATATTTTGTTTTTCCTATTTCAGTTGTTTATGTGTACTTGGAGTTGAAAAGTAGAAGATAAAAAGTGCTAAATAATATTATTTACTATATAATGTCTAACTGAAACATGACATCATTTTTCTTATCAGTTATTGAACAAACATCTGCGTAGTATAGGGAAGTATGCCTAGTCTGTATCTTCAGACTAAGCATCACCATACATACTTTAAACTTCAAACTCCAGAGTTCAAAGAAAAGACAGTACAGAACAGACAGCATAGTGTCAGGTCATTTCAGTAAGTAAACAACTGAAAGCCATGAAATCAGTATCTTCTGATGTGGATTTGAAACCATAACATCAGATGACTCAAGATAAGATTTCACCCTCTTGTGGTTTTCATTACAAATCCAAAAAACCCTGAAATTTCCAAACTTTGCTTTGCTTGTGCACCACCAAAATACAAAGAAAAAACTCTATAATTCTGGGGAAATGCCAACAGCTTTTGGCTCTTTAAAGTCTGATTCAAATGGATGTATGCCATTAACCTCTTCTTCCCTGTATTGGCTGATGCCTAATCATGAGAAAAAGTATACGGTGATTTGGGCAGTATTCTCTCACCAAACAAATGTTAATTATCTGTTTTGTGGAGAAAATTGTGTTGTTTTCTGGTTGGTTTTTTAAAGAGGGAAGGTTTAGATTAGATGCTTTAAGGCCCTTTCCAACCCAAGCCATCTTATGATTTTATGGCATTAGGAGAAATTCTTTAATGTGGATGTAGTGGGGCCATGGCACAAGTTGGCCAGAGAGATCTGTTCAAGGGGTTTCATCAAGCTTATCTAGTGCAAAGTGTCCCTGCTCATGGCAGAGGGATTGGAACTAGATAACCCTCAAGGTTCCTTTCAACCCAAACCATTCCATGATTCTGTGATTTTATGTTTCCACGATTCTATGAAATGTCTCTGGTATCACTAATGGTATAGAACATCACTTTTGGAATGCACTTAGTGAGTTCTTTTTTAATAGGCTTTTGTACATTTTTTAGAGGACACTGGTAACATAAAATTGTGTCAACTGTAAAATGGCCATAAAAATCAGTTTTTGTAGTCTTTATTTCCCTGTTTTCTAGGTTTTGTATAGAAATATGTATTTCAGGCTTCATCAGTTAAAAAAAACCTCAAAAAAACCTTACTAATTTCCCTGCAGTAATGCACTTTGGTCTACAATTACCTGACTTTGATGATGTCTCTTATCTGTATAATTAACAGTTTGCACTGAAATATTAAAGCATACTGCATGCGAATTCCAACCCTGACTCAGCAGCAAGCAGCATAGAAGAATTCTCTAAAGGAACTTGAAATATGTTTTATCAGGCAGATGTATATCATAGTGTAAGTCACTATAAATTCTTCAGACAGCCTCTTGAAACTTCTTGGTTTTAATTCAGGGTTTTTTTAAGTATTACTATGAAACTGAATTAGGCCAGCTAATTCTTAAAGGACTGGAAGAGAAAACTTGATAGTTGATTTGCTTTGATTTCTAGAAACTGAACAGTGCTGAAAATCTAGAATAATGTTGGGAGTTCTGTCATGTCACAGAGATGT